GACGCGCTCATTGCTAAGATTTATTGTTGTTATAACGGAATTTAATATAAATTATAGCTATACATTTGTCGGATAATTAGGATCGAATGCGTATTTGCGCGCGTTGTACATTGCGAATTTTATATCCATCCTTAATTTGCATACGCGTACATGTATATGCGTTACGCGTACGTAAATACGTGTATATATATATATATATATATATATATATATATATATATACACGTGTACGTGTAGAAACATCGATCAATGCATAATTGCGGTTATAATCATTTATGCATGATTACTCGCAAATAACGAACAAACGAAGCTCGAGCTTTTCGTCGTGTTGTTCGTGAAAACGAATTGACGCGCGAATAAAAGCGACGAATTGTTGAAATGATGAAAACATAAAGTTGTGACTGTTTTAAACAATCGTTCAAGTCGTTATAAATCTATAAAACATTCTGTGATAAATTGCAAATTGATTATTTTCACTACTTTGATAGTTCCACTATGTGTTAATTCCTTCAGTCTCATTCTTTGGTTTTTGATTAAATGATTTAATTTTGAGATATTTCTTTCGCTTTAAATATATTAGGAATGAAAAATAGTGGAAAATCTTGGAATATTCCGCTAATGGATGGATTTTAACTCTTAAGGCAATTATATACATTGAAACTTACATAAATTTTCTGTGAAAAGCTTTTACTAGGTCAAGATCAAATTCAATTGTTCTTGCTTTATGTATTGGCAATAAAGAATTTTTTTAATTAAACAATAGCAAATATATTGAAAAATATAAAATATAAAATAATGCAGGAAGGGAAATAGGAATGAATGGAAATTGTAAGCAGCGTCACAGATGATCTATATTTCGAATTAATAGGGAAACAGTGGGATTTTCGGATAATAAAACAATCACCTCTCTGATATTAAAATACATTCGAATGAAAATGAAGAAAATTGGCAGTTTATTTCAGTATTTAAGAATGTTATATTTTCTTCGCTATTGAATTACCTTTCGAGCACAAGTAAGTACATCCTACACTTTGTACACCGTTCAAAGCACCGAAATTCTTTTCTAAATACCTTGAATGTCTCAGCGTAAAATGACACGCCCTCCGCATTTTCATTTGCTGTTTGCTTCATTTTATGAAACAATTATATCTATAATATTTCCGTTACTTGTTCTAATGGAACGTCAATTTCACGCACGGAACTAAACGCAATGAACATCGTTTTGTTTTTTCAGTAGAATATGCTTTTTCAATTAATGTGTTCTCTTTGCAATTTTGAAAAACACACAAAACGTGTAACAGTACATAAAACTATTCTAATCGAATAACAGTGAAAGTAAAATATTTGATTGTTGAAATATTATATAATAGAATAATAGGAGTTCGGATACAGTCGATGGTACTTAAATAATTAGATTACACTGTTCGCACACTTTCCATGTCATCTAATCATTATAATATAACCTAATTATAGTTTAATATTTGACGTAGGATGTACTTATTGAATGTACTTACTATTCAAGGTATCAGCTATTGCACCAAACTTATTTTCTTTTACTAATGATCACTAATTATAATCTACTGGACACAGTTGTTGAGTGTATTACTTGCTAGGCCTTCGAATTCAACGCTTAGATTTCCCGATTAGATTAAATTTCTCCGAAACGCACACACACACGCACAGAATCCGATGAAACAAAAACGATTCACCGACAATATCAGTATCTCTGATCTCGCATAGTTCCACGTCGAAAACTTCCACGCGCCCCGCTAATTTTTTGATCCACGTTCGCTCGACAATTGGCGAGTCGCGCCAGAAAACTAAACAAATAATTCGCGTAATTGCACACACCGTCGTGCAGAGATACTGTTTAGATTGATCGTTCTCTACCTGTTCCGCAGAACGCCTTCGGCAGAATCTCCAACACGATCCGGTCCGCGGCCGGTTCGGCTAAAACGGCCCTGTATTTACTACAGAAGTTGAGGGTATCGCGCCAAACAATGCAGTTTGTTTTCGATCAGCACACTTTCCCCGGACTCTGTACAACAACCGGGAAATATCGTGTAATTTACGGGTGTCGGATCTGTTGTCGGGTTTTCACCGTCTGTTACCCAATTCCGGCAACGAAATCGCGCGGCCATGATCTTTCGTTGCGAGCTGCAACGAAACGAGACCATTGGCCGCGGTCGAAAAATTATGGTCTCTCGCGAAATTGTTTGTAGAAGCTGTTGTCGAAATAGTGGACGCGCTATGTTTTTCGCGCGATATCGTATCGCGTCGATGGTTTTTTTTTCTTTTTTTTTTTTTTTTTACCAACAGTTGATAGCGCGGAACATCCGGGAATCGCAGGGGGAGGGTTTTACATTTTGTTTAAAAACAATTTGTTCCGCTCGGAACCGCGCGCATGATAACGCGCGATTGGGGGACGATACATCAAACAGACACACGCGTGCTATCACGTAAAAATTTATTTGGCCGTTTCGATCGTTAATAGTACAACGTGTTCGCATGCTATTTACACATTTTGCTTCAATGGACAATGGCGTTTTTCGTTTTCTTCGAAAATTCTTCCCTGTCGCGTTCTTGTATGTACATTCGTATGATCGAAGTGAATCGATCTACGACAACGCGCAGTTACAATACTTTGTTGTTTATTAAAAAAAAAAAACGGAGGGGAAAGAAAACGAAAACGTATATGGCACGTTAAATTGCAGCGAGCAATGAAACAGGCAATAAATAACGTTCTACGATAGTTGCTCGAATAAATTGTAAATAACAGGTACAGGAATTATGGAAACAGTGTCTGGATGAAACTGACGACGTATCGCGCTTTTCTCTTTTTTTCTTTTATGCCGTTATTACACCTACTTACGCCTACTTGCGCTCAAAAATCTTGGAACATTTTTTTTACTATTAATATTCGGTATTTATTGCAGACGATTATCGAATCTTTAAGTTGCATTTGACAACACAATTGTCGCTGTATTAAGTGTAGAAATGAATTCGGTGCTTTTCCATTGAATTTGAGTTAAACATTTTAAATAATTTATAATCTACATGTTGTAGACTATTAGAAGGAACAATGTATATTTTTTTTTATTTTCAACTGAAGACTTTTCAACAATAATCAAGACGTGTCTGACCAAGAATATAATTGACGTAAAAATTACATCACAAAATACAATTTGCTGTTAGAACGATCTCGAAAATGCAGAATCAATAAATAAATGTCAAGATGGTACAAAAATGGTCTAAAATGGTACAAAATTAATTTCTATATCTAATGCTAACACTTTATAGGTTCTTGTAAATTCTTTGTTGTATAAAGAATTGTTTAATCTCTCCAATTCTGAAACAAATGCAGTATCTGTCTTAAGATTTTTGAGCGTGAATGTACTGTATATGCTACTACTGCTACTTATGTGCTAGTACTTAAAGTCTAAGGAAATAGGCACTTGTGCCCGTTATATATATATATATATATATATATATATATATATATACAGCACGTCGTAAAAAGCGTATAATTATAACACGAACAGTGCGGATTTTTATGCAAATTCACAATTTTACAAATGTAATTAAAAAAATTGGGATTTAGGCTGAGACTTGTTTTACCTATTAACCTTAGAACGATTAATTGTAGATTAAACGCTAAATAGAAAACGTAGAATGTACATTGTTTCTCTCGTTTTGAAAAATTCTGTAAAATTTATAGAATACATGTTCTTTACTAAAGCGAATTTTTCGTACGATCGAAATATATTTTTCGTTTTATCTTTGTATGTAAATCAAATATAATGGACTATATTTATTGATATAATGTAATTTTAGTTGATGCTCGATTAATTGAACTTCTCATTTATCAGTTATGTGAACGAAAAGAGTAGTTTGTGAGAGAAATTTCTGAACTCCGTTAACAAGTTTTTTTTCTGTTTTAAACATCTATAATTTAATGTAAAAAAATAACTCATTTATAGCGAAATATAGCGAAGTATGCAATACAACAATGAAAAAATTCACTGCAATTGTTACATACAACTCTGTTCGAAATTCTCAAAAGAAGTACTATATTTGTTTTAAAACTGAATAAGTTAGAAGATACTTTATATAACAAAAAAATCAGTAAAACGTCAATATATTAACAATTGTATACATACAATTTAAAAATTTTGTTAACTACAATGAATAAGTATTAAAAATGAAAAGTGTTCTAGGACTTGAACGGGGACGTGTATGAATGACATGATACATAACAGAGGAAAAATATTGTCATTTATATATAAACGATACGATAGAGAACATTGTTCAATATTCCACGATATTTCAGGAAAATATCAGCATTTGAAAGACACATCTTCCGATCAAAAATATAATAAACTTAACAGTTTAAGAATTAGTCGTTCTAAAGTTAAACATTTTAAAAGACACTATATATAGTAGAAATTATGTATAGTATATTATAATATACTAAAGAAGTATATGTATAGTATACTATGTATAGTATATTATAATATACTCGAATATTTGTGAAAGTATATGTATAGTATACTATTATATTATACTCTACATATATGTATAGTATAGTATATTATAATATGCTCGAATATTTGTATATGTGGAAGTATATGTATAGTATACTATGTATAGTATATTATATTATACTCTACATATACTAGTATACTATTATATCATACTCTACATATACTAATATATGTATAGTATACTATGTATAGTATAGTATATTATAATATACTCTAATATTTGTATATCGGGAAGTATATGTATAGTATACTATGTATAGTATATTATATTATACTCTACATATACTAGTATATGTATAGTGTACTATGTATAGTATATTATATTATACTCTACATATACTAATATATGTATAGTATACCATGTATAGTATAGTATATTATAATATACTCGAATATTTGTATATGTGAAAGTATATGTATAGTATACTATGTATAGTATATTATAACATACTCGAATATTTTGTGTATTATATATATTTTATGCATTTTCGTACGTATAAATTTTCCACGAACGCATAAAAACCCGCAATCCGACAACGCACAACGACGATCGTTTTGTATACTTTTACCTCTCTCTAAACTCTGTACAAAATAAAGCGGCAGCCGCATCGTGAGCGATTAATCGTGCAAGTCGATCTCGACTCTCTGCAGAAGATCCGGCTCTGTAAAGAGAATGATAAAGGGAATTTCAACGCAACGCCGATGCGCTACTCTAGATTAGTTAAAATAATTTCCGAAGATTCGAGCACTGGGGCGTTAAAGCGTTTGCTAAATTTATGGCTCTCGGTCGAGGGGCGAGGGAGGTTTACCGTTTCGATTTTCCTCGACGTACAAGCTGGCTCTTTGAGAACGCCTGCCATCGCCCGAGTATCTGATCCTTGGCTCGATCCTTTGAGCAGAAACGTAGGTGGGAGTGGTGAAATCGTCCGGGCCGTCTTTGACCGGAGACGTGGTCCTTCTCCTGCAGATAGCCAACCCGATGATCACCCCGATACCAATCAGGATCAAAGCCGCCGCACCTTCGGGTCCAAAATCTCGTTCGTTTTTGCTCGTCCGTGAACATGCGCGTTTCAACGCGTCCCAACCGCGTTGAAACAGACGCCGACTGCTCCAATTTCTCGATATATATGTACATACTCGCGACGTATTTCCGACGAAAGTGACTCTACTCGCGAAACGTAATTTTCCGAGTTACCGCTGTGAGAATGTTGCGGAAATATTTCAATTGCGAACAAACTTTATGTACTCGTGAAAAATTGGAAGGTGAAAATGATGTTAACTAAAGTATGTAAGTATCTAGGTCCAATTTTTTTTTTTTTTTTTTACCGTTAGACGTTTTGCATAAGAGTTCCCAGTCTAAGATTATGGGAATCTTGTTCGGTAGAAATTATTAACTTTTTTTTTATTTATATTCGTGTTTAACAAATGTTAATATCGAATTACAACGTTTCACTTTGCTGTTTTTTTTTTTTTTTTTTTTTTTGATCAATTTTAATTATCGAATTCTACTCTTCATTAAGTTAAAGAATTTAAATTCAAATTCCATTTAAATACCAAGAATATGCCTTTAACGGCTCGTAATTATTTTCATCGTACGTATCAGCAGGTCTGTACTTGGATTGACGAAAGAGTTTTGGCTTCTTTTAATCAAAATTTAATAGAATTGATTGGCAAATTGATGATCAATTTGAACACTCAAGACTCGTCATACTAAACACAGAGATCACAAAAGAATTAATATTTTCTCATCGTCTAATTTTATATAATTTCTCGAATTGAATTTACAACACCTCGATTGAAATTAATTAAGCTGAAAAATACAATGCGAGTGATACAACGTAATAAATAACGCGGACAACTGAAAAATATCATAACTTTGTTAAAAAAACAAATCATTCTCCTCTTCGTATCATCTCGAGTTACGTCACTTTCGCCGTAAACGCGCGACAGATGCTTTCGATTACCTGTACCTGTCAGGGCGATAGCGATGATCATATTTTCCGAGCTGGCCTTGGGGAGCGCCTTCTTCAGATCCTCCAGGAACAAGCCGTTCCTTTCGATTTTCCCGCCGATAACTCCGGCGACTCGGACGTGCTCCAGCAACGCCGGCTCGCTCCTTCCTCGCCCGTTCACCGCGTACACGTACAACGTGTAATCGAAGCCAGGTTCAAGACCGTGCAGCTGAAAGTTCGGCCTTGGATTTCTCTCCTGATAGATCGCCGGCACCTCGCCGACCATTCCCTGATCGCTTTGTGGCGCGTGCAGCGTCGACGGGTTCGACTGAACGACGGCGGTGTTCCTCGGGATACCTCGTACCTCGAGCAGAAAGTATTGCTGGGAGCCACCGTCCTCGCCGGGGATGCAATTCACCTCCAACGAGTTGGTCTCGTTGTGCAGAGAACAATCGAACGGAGGCTGCGGTGGCTCTGCAAACGGGAAAGCAAACGGTTACACTGGGGGGACAGAGTGAATGTTTGTTAGAGATGATTCCCGAGATCGTTCGTCGACTTTACATTGAAATATCTTACGACCGTTGGGTTTAGGTATGTCAAGTTTCGCGGATCGAACCTGAGGTTGTCTCGAATTGTCTGCGTAAAGTCGGTGTCTTCTAATTGTTCAACCATTTGTCCATATCTCTCACGATACTTCTGCTCTTTCCTTCCCTTTTAAAGAGACTTGGACAAATTTGGTAAACCAACGAAGAACGATTAAAGATCAGTGTCACAAATTTATGATAATTGCAAGATTACTCATTATTTGGACAATTCCTTTTCACATTTTGCATTCTTTTTAATGAAATAAAGAAAAGAGTGCTACTTCCTTCCTGCTGCTGACTCTTCAATTATTGAAATATGTAAAAAAAAAATGTGGAACTAATTCCGCCTTTTGATATCCTCTCTGTTTGATGATTCTTACGATATTAATAACTAGCGAATTTTTATGCAAATTCATATTTTTGAAAATATAAAATTCGATAGAAAATTGTAATTTAAGTATCAAATATTGTAAAGAACGCTATATACTTTCATATCATATGCATCGTGTGTAATTTCATACTTAAAAATTTCCTATAAATGCATAAAAATTCTAAATCGTTAAATTTTAACGCTTGGTTTTTGGTTTTTTCAACGATCGAATTACCAGCAGCTGTTATAATAGACAATACGTTATATTCCTTTGGTCCGGGAATCCTTCAACCTCTGGTTAAAAAAAAAAAAAAATACTATACCTGAGTATTATTATTTCTTGGTTAGAAAAAAATTATAAAATTGTAATAATTTATAAATTTGTAATGTAATTATAAAAATTATATCATAACATGTCATACACAAAATTGATTCTTTTCAAGTTTAATCTTTCCTAAAAACACCTTTATAATTCGCGTAATCATGGACCACTTTATTTCAGCAAGCTTAAAATCATAGAAAACAATTCCAACTTCTCTAATAAGAATAATTTTCGACATTCCTTTCGTTTCACGTTTCATCTGGCTCGTTTGATCGAACAGATTGAGGAGAATAGTATTGTCAGACCGAGGAAGACTCCGAGAACGAAAATGGGACGGAAGGCGAAAGAATTCCGTGGAATTCGTTCTGGTAATCAATTTCCAAGGGCGCGTACTTGCGGGCACGATGTCGAACACACAGGGCGTTCTTTGTCTGCCGACGCTGTTGCTCGCCCAGCAGGCCAGAGTTCCGAAGTCGGTGTCAGCGGCAGGAGTGTACTCGAGAACGCTAACGAGCCCGTTATTCCGAGCCCTGGAGTTTGGCATCGGCAACACGTCGCCGCGCGTCCCGTTGTACGTCCAGGAGAACCTCACCGCGTCCGTCGGCACGGCGTCGACCTCGCAGCGCAGCGACACGGTTTCGTGACGACCAGCTGTGACCTCGCGCCGCTCGTGGCCCGCTCTGCATCTCGGCGCGTCTGCCCGCACACAAGGGAAACACAGAACGATCTATCGTCGAGGAAGAGGCTCGCGGCATCACTTACATTTCATCTGAACGAAAATCGGCGGGCTCCGACCCTCTCTCACCGAGTTGATCGCCTCGCAGGAATACTCGCCGGCGTGCGCGAGGGTGAGCACCCTCAGTGTCAATGTGTTCGAGGCTATCAACGTTCCGCCAGCCACGTCGTGCTCCAATCGATCGTCCTGAAACGTGAGCGTGATTCGCGCCACGGTACGTTTTACGAGGGGAGGTCCGATTCATCCAATTTGGGCGAAACTTTGAAGGAAAGATAGCGGATACGTATGTATCTTCTTCTTGGCTGCGACGGCTTGACGAGCGAGAGGGATTCGAGGGGTGAGGTTTTAAAGTTTTCGCCTCTTAGAAGCTAACTTGGAGAAAGATTCTTTTTTTTTTTTTTTTAAGAATTCAATAGTTTCTAACACGAAAGGAAGAAAGGGTGGTTTGAGAAATGTTTAGAAATATTTGGTAGATCGTGTGTGTTAATGCAAAAACTTGTTCTTCTTTCCTGATTTCTCCAACTAATTATTTATCTCACTTAACGAGGCGATTATTTTGTAACGAAGTATTTCTTGTTATACACAATCGCTGTATTTTTTTTTCGAAAGAACGTAGATTATCTAATAGCTTTGGATTGCTAGAAACTATTCAATTTTCTTTTATCTGTAATCTCCAAGTCAGCTAGAAAAATATATATATTATGTAGTTGTTTACAAAATAATTGTCCAAACTGTGAATTTTCAAAATTTCATCCAAATCGGGCTTTCCTTCTTATTAGAATATGAAGTGATCGAATAAAATGGTCGAATGAAATGGTCGGACACGTAATAAAACGTAATAAAACAGCGTTTCTGGACACTCTCCTAAATGGTATTAATCATATATGATTCACCAGACGAAATGGATTGTATGACTCACCAGATTTCCTACTTTTTTTTCATTGTTGCAACTACCTCGAATAAAATTTTTAGCTGACGGTTGTAAAACAGTCTTTCCTTCTAATATAACTTTCTCAGATCAGCACAATTCAATTTATACTAATGTTACGTTAAATCAATGTTTAAGTGTACTCGAGTCTCTTTGACACAAACCTACCTTTTTTTATTAATTCTAGATCATTGATTTCAGTAATTACGTGATTACTAATCTTTCGCCTGTCAGATTGCAAAATAAAGAATTAATACATAACAAAACTTTATTTATTTATAAAATACTCGCAGGATATGTTTAAGGAACTTTAAAATGAAACTAAATCTCGTCTATTATGGTCACTACAAACGCGCTAGTTGATTAATAAATATTAAACAACAATTTTAAATTCTGACTAATCTGATAGACCTATAAAGTTGACCATTTCATTAAAATCTGATAGATTTATAAAGTCGGCCGTTTCATACAACGACAATTCAATGTGCAACTGTGCAAAAGAACGTGAAAACTGTACCTTGTGATACCAAATGATTCTAGTCGGTGGTGGATTACTCTCCACATCGCACACCAACTTCAGATCATCCCCTTCTCTGAGAGTATCCAGAACATAACCAGTAGCCAGACCGATAGAAACAATCGGAGCGTCTGAAAACCGAAGAAACAAATGAAGAATGTGTACGTTTTCTATTTCTTTTTTTCAAATTAAAAAAAAAAAAAAACATGAGACTCACAGGCAACGTCCAGACTCTCAGATTGTTCAAAGACACCGCCGGGAAATCTGGGATTCTCGGCTCTGCAGGTTAATTTCTTGCCGTTATCGTCCTTCCCGAGAACCAGTGCCAGCTTGCTAATCGTGGAATTGCTTCGCTGCGTGGTCGATACGTTCGGATCGCCTATCACCTGTCCACCTAACTTCCAGATGATCCTGGCAGCCGGTGAGCTTCCCCAGGTTTCGCAACGTGCAGCGATCGGACGCCCGGCGTAAATCCGATTTTCTATCAGGACGATCTTGACGATCGCGGGCTTCACTGCGAAACGAATCGACGATTACGTGTTTCGCTCACCTGGTGCCGCCGACGACAGCATCTGAGACTCAAAGCTTAAAATTCTTGGGAATTTTGTCAAGTCTTTACGAAAGGCATGGTTCCCCTTGTTCGTTCAAAAACAACATTGCGACATATAAATTAAATAACATCAGTTAAATGCATTTAAACAAATTCGTTGTACGTAAAATACCGATTGAATTTTTATTTGACAAAGTCAATTTGTGACGAATATTACATATTCTTAAATGGAAGACATTTTCTGATTCTTCGTTTGGAATGCGCGTTTTCGACAATTCGAATTTTTCTGGACTACTATCTCTGAGAGTTTCACACTGTGAAACAACGATGATAGTAATCAAGAAGCTCGTACGACGTTTGGATATTCGTCACTGAGACTTTATCGGAAATCCCAAAACTTCCACCGCTCCGCATGACTCCCCAAAAAACTTTGAAAGCTCAAGACACATCGAGATTCCCGACAGTCTCGAGCACCGAAAGTCACGAAATGATTCGAATTCGTCGCCAGGCATGCCATGCAGATTCGAGAATCCCATCCGCTGGTCACGTGATCACTATATTTCGTGACTGACGTCAGAGATTCTCGTTTCCGTTCTAATCGAGTTCTAGTTCTCCAAGGATTCGCAAACGTGTAGTGAAAAAAATTTCCCGACAGTTCTGCCGCCGAATATGTAAGGTTCGAGCGGCGGTGAAAATAACAGATCGAGGGAGCCACATGCTCGAGCGTATTTTTACATTCAACGACAATTCCACGAAATGCGACCGTCAAAGGAGTTAAGGAGAGGTCCGCCCGCGAAATCGTTGGAATTCATCTCGCTTCCGCCGTGGGTCACTAGCTCCGACTATATTTAAATTTCTTTCTTCTTCGTGTCGCAGGACACTCGGATGAATAACAGCGGCGGTGTTTCTTCCCGGGCAGGATGTCCGGGCGGTTATGTCGGAACGTTGATGAAGCCATGGCGTGCAGCCGTGTATCGGAGATCGTGTATCGCACACGCAGCCGCTGGAAATTCGTCCGCACCTCGCATCGGAGAAACACGAGCAGCTTGCGTAACGTTTAGAAGCCGGCCTCGTCTTCTTCCTACGCTTTTTCTCTCTGCGATCGTCTTGATTCGGCTTCGTTCGTGATATCGGACAGGAAGTGGAAGGCGAGCGCGAAGAGAAACACCAAGGTGAATTGAAACTCGTTTCTCGATCGTCCGGAGTTGTTATCACATTTGCTTAATAATCGCAGATACAATTTGCCGGATTAAATTTATTTTTCATCTTTTCATTGTTTTCTGGCTTGATGACATTTAGTTTGCGTATTTATATTCCGTAATATTTCATTCTGTGTTTTTAAACGGAATCTGTAGAAGTACGTCAAATGAAGTACTGTAAATAATTGTACAGCCAGAGGATGTGATAACGTTTACAAGTTGAGTTATTGGAGAAAGTGCAAAATGCCATAAGATTAACATTCCGAGAGCAAAGATTTTTAACTTTTTTAGTTAAACCTAACTGATCACCAAATTACGCGAGTTCCAAATGACCTACTCCAAAATATGATGTATGTACACTACCTTTCTCATTCACTTCTGACATTAATCTTTCCTTCTTATAGAAAGAGTTGCGTTAAATCTAACAAGAAGATATTTCTGTGTATAATAAAAAAAATAGCACGTATTACGTGTAATAAATATAGTATTGACAATTTATTCAACTATAATTTATGAATAACTCAATATATTATAATATTAATTAACTTTTTGCACAGGACACACATTGACACAAGATTGTCCAAAAAGTTTTACAATATTTTCTGAAGAATATAATAATTCGTTACAGCCAAGTCCTCTGTCACTCATATACATATTTGTGTTCTTATTTAAAGTTATTAATGGTCTTGTCGACAGTACCCAGAACGCCAGCCTTTTTTATATTTTATCCGTAATAATTAAATAAATACCAAAATGAACATCCTATTATCCGGTAATACAGAAGGATCAAACCTTGATCGCTTTTAGCACGCGTTAAGACTCGAAGATGCGACCTTGAGCAGCGCGCACATTCGTTCTATTTTATTCTCGCCAGATGTTACCGCACGCATGTCGCACGCGATTGGCCTCTTCCTTTTTTTTTTTTTTTTTCTTTTTTCTTTTCTTTTCGAAACGTATCGTTGTCGAAGTCGGTATCGCGACGAGAAAAGGCACTCATTACTTACGGTAAATGTCCAGAGGTACTTCGCGGATGATCGGAACGGGCATCTGCTCCGACTGGGCCCTGCACTCGAGCTTCGTGCCCCACAACGATCTCGTCACCTCGTTGATGAACAGACGATTCACCGTGAATTTGCTGGACGAGCCAATTGAATGTGTGTCAACCACAGCGTCCAATATCTTGCCGTCTTTCCACCACACTACCGTGGGCTTTGGCCTTCCTGAAAAGATAAACAATAGTGCGATCAGAGCGACTGTTGAAACAGTTGATCGTTGGGGAAGAAAAAAAAAAAAGAATTTACCCCCGGAGACCTGACAGGTCAAGTCTAGGTTGTAACCTTCCAAAAAGGGACCAGCCACTCGTTTCACCTCTCGTCCCTGAGCGTCGTATATCGTAGGTTTGGATGGTTCTTCTGAAAAAAAAGAGACAGAGAAAAAATAAAAAAGAAAACGCGAGCTCGTTACGCTTGTTACAGTTGAGGAGTAGATATAATTGAGGCGATAATTATACCTAGATTTCGCGACTGAATCATATTTCATTGTCGTTTACAAAGAATGCACACTGCAAAAATATTTATCTATTATTGTTTAAAATTTAAACAATTTTTCAATGTTGTCAATTTTTTTTTTTTTTTTTTTTTTTTTTTCTTTTTACTTGTACTTCGTACGTGAGAAGAGATATTTTTGATTCAGTTACGTTGAAGATTTTAATTTGAAAAAACGAAAAAGCTTCATTTCTATTCCTTGTTTCTTGCTTTACAATGTTTTTTTAACGGCTTGTTTAACAGTAAGTAGTGTATAGTTAATATTTTCTATGATCTTTCTTTGATTGATTAATTTTTACAAAATATCATATCGAAAATTGTACGTGTGATGATCCGTGATCCGTTTCAATAATCTGCCAATCTATCATAAAATTTAAAAGAAAATAAAAATTGAAGTTTCCTACAGAAGCTAATTTGCCTTCATACAGCAAGAATTTACAACTATCCTAAAATTTGAAGATTCATAAATATTAAAGTTGAAAAACTTTTATTACAAAAGACATTACGCAAAATTGAATCAACAAAAGAATTGATTTCAATTACCCAAAAATGTTTCGTGTACGCTCATCCTTCGTGTATCTTGACATTAATATAATAATAAAAGAGCGTCTGTACAACTATTAAACTAAACAGAAGGCGTAACTAACCGACAAGCGTGAGATTCACGCGGAAGTTCCTCGTCGGAGAATTGATAAAATCTACCCTGCATCTGAAGATTCCTTGGTCCTGGACGGTGACCTTGGTAACTTTGAGCTTCGCTCGATGGCCATCGCCGATCTGAAAGTAGGTCCTCTTGCCGAGATCGTCGCTGACCGCCCAGTGAATGGCGGAGGCAAGGTCCTTGCCTCTCGCGTCCAAACTGCGTAGAAAGACGAGCAACTTTTTCATTTATTTCCTTCACCCATTTATCAGCAATTGACGGAGCTTTGTTACGATTGAGAAAAAGAAATAAAAGGAGAAAATAAAGTTAGAAGTTAAATATTATCCGTCCTTCGTTTTTTTCAGTTCAATTTCATCCTCCGTATCAGTGGCGAAAGTACCTACGTACTTAAAATACGTATAATTAAATTAGATTTCTTTTATTAATTAATTTCGTAACCAAACTAAATTTCTATTCAAATGTAAGTAATAATACTATGAGATTTCGATGTCATACCACAGTTCAACGTGTTTCACGCTCGTTTTATAATAAAAGTGTGTCAAATTGTGACAAGAGACAAGATGAATAAAAAAAAATTCCGTGTTTACAGATCGTGAATTGTGAAACAAGATAATGATGACGAAGTAACACTTTAGACTTTAGTTAGAACTCATCATCCTCTGTTAAAGAAAATAAATAGAAGGCACAATTCACTTCGTTTCGAGATCAGAGTTAGGGAGGTTACCCGGTTACCAGGAACATCCTGCCGATCAGCAGGCCGAAATTCTTGGCTCGATCGACGCCGAGTCAACGTTCGTGCACAGCTTGACGTTTCCGCGGTGCAAAAGGAGCTGATAAACACCGGGAACAGCGGACTCTTCGTTGGCCAATTTTAAATGACTAACTCTAGAACGCGCAGTTATTTGCGGAGGAAAGAAGGATAGTTGGCAAACGAGCAGTCAACGAATTTAGATCCGCCGCGAACGCAGGTTGACCGTTACGCAATGTCGAGGAGGAAATCACCAGCGGGGAAAAAAGGAACGATTCGCAGTGGATTTTCTTCAAATTAACGGCGATGGAGCCTGGCGCACTTTGAATCACACAAAAATTCTGATCACTTTAAAATTCGGATTCGAAGCTTAAAACTCTTGATAAAAGTCTTTTCGTGGACGAAGTAGTACGCGTAGTATCAGTATAACGAAAATAGATGCTTTATTATTAGATTTTACATGTTACTGTTGGATGTAGCTTTGTATGGACGTAAGAAACGTTTCAAACAAATCATGTTCATTGAAGTTTAGTAGGCGAAATTGATTTCATACTGTTTCAAAGAACTTTCCAATCTCATCAAAAAGCTTATATATATATCGATACTCGATATGCTAATCTCTATTGCGACTGTACTTCAGATTTTCAAGACTTTCAAGGCAATCAGAATTTTCGAGATTTTAAAGGCTCAGAACCTGCAAAAACGGAAAATCACTAAAAATTGACAATTCTCGATTTTGCTCCTCATTCTAAATATTAATGTCCACTAATGACGAATTGTCATTCTCTCTTGAGAATAACAAATCCGGAATATATTCATTTTTATTCTGACTTGAAGCGATTCCAAGTGTCTCAGATCTCATCATTAGCGTTTGTTTCTTCAACCTCCGTTTCATCACTTCCAACTTCTTTCCCGCGCCCTTTCCTATGGTAATATTCGTTTCTTTTTGTCTGTTACGTTCCTCTCACGGCCAGAAGAAAAAAAGAATTCGTGTGAAAGGGCACACGTAAGCCATGGCTGCAAACGAGAAGAACTGAACTCGTAAAATTTCAGAGCCACCTGCTTCGTTTCCTTCTCTTTCGGCACGTCGTCTGTCCTTTTTCCAAAATTCTTCAACAGCGTTCGTTTAGCTTGGCGATTAACTGCTCGCCGTCACCGGAACGGGCTGTTCCGTTTTGCGGATAAACTTGCAACTCACCGTTCATAAATAAACCAACGGAGATACGCTGTTTGTCAGCACGAAATGACGATCGACCACTCTATTTCTGAAAGTTCGTTGGTATGAAGAAATTCCATCGGCCGATGCCAACCGAGACCGGCGCACGTCCCATTGGTTTATTTACGTTACGCGATCTACCTCAATCCTTGCGGAAATCCGCCATAATTTTAACTAACCCTCTCGTTCCGAAAGAAACGTGCACACAGAATGCTCTCTTGTTCATAATTTCACAAAGAAAAAAAAAAAAAGATCCTTAGGACAAGGTTACATCGTTTCTTGAGGCACGTGTAATGATAGGACAAATTTTTTGAGATCATTTCCTTTTCAAATGAAACAATTTTCGATACATTCTTTTCTGAAAGTGTTAGAATAAGCCAACACTTCAGGAACAACGTTTCTACACTGTACTAACTCTTGTACCGAACGATCTCTATCAGAAATTTTGCTAAACAGTACTCAAATTTATAAAACACTAATAATTTATCGGAAATTATCCGAATATTATCCAAAAGTAATTATCGTAAAAAATCAGTTGTCATTGCTGAAGAGAATTAAGAGATATTATTCAGTTCGAACTTTAAAGAATACTGTAAGTTTAATTTCGTAAAATATTTATCTATTTCTTTGTACATTGGTGAAATTATAATTGGAATATCGTTTTTTTCAGCGTGCTTCGTGTCCATAACAATTTTATCACATACAAGTGCGAATAAGAAGACGCTATCGCGATAGTGAGGACTGTGGTTTATTTCGAAGATCGACAGCAGTATTTCGATTGTACAATGGAGGAGGATAGTACAGAGGTAGTGTCCGGTACAGAGGAATCCTATTTCAGAGACCTGGCTTGAGATATTTCGAGACGCAATGTCAGAACAATGGAATTTACGAACATTAACTAGCATTTGGACAACTACTATTGTAGAATTAAATTGTTCAGTTTCATCAATTTTTGCAATTTCAGTCGCGGAGAGTTCGTAATGGAAAGTAAAATTAAATGCCTCAAGTTTTTATAATACTACTTAAGCATTAATAGGGTTAATTTCATTGTAAAATACACATACAGCTCGTTATAGTCCAACAAACCAATGTCACAACGATTGAACGAATTTCTTGCCATTTTCTTCCGCAAAGTGTTTACGTAATAAATATTATCGTTGATGCATATGAAATATCGTTTCTTCGAATCCCGAAACTGTCAAACATCAGTTATCAACTAGATTAAAGAGAAAGAAATTGAAATCACGTGTGTTTATTATCAAGAAGGTTTACAAATATTAATGATCGCGACATTCGTATAATTTTCTTACTTGTATCGATATTTACAAGCGCTCTGAAAATTGTTAGAAGCACGCAGTTGGCGTTCGAATCGCAACATGGGACCAACGATCATCAGTTGCTAACAAATGAATAAACAAAAAAATATCTAAACACAGCCACTTCCTTATTATACTCATCATTCAACGACGAAAAATCATTCATCCGCCCTGGATTTAAACCCCGAGTACCTTCCTGCCCGATCGATTGACGAGAGCTAAACAAAATAAATCCGTGGAGGAACCCGTTCATCCTAGATCGACTGCCGCCGCTTGTCTCTGCCCTCTGACCTCCTTCTTTTCACAGGGACGGAGCGCAAAGTGCATCCCCCGTAAATTCAGTCCGCCGGGTTACGACAAATACTGCGGGATTTGGATACAACCACTTGCTGCAGGTGCCGTTGTTCGGAACGAGAGCGATACAGAATGGAAACGGGAACGGGCGAAAGAGCGTTATACCTGTAAAGAGGTATCCCAGCGGTGTCTTTGAACCAGAGCACCATGTTCACGGAGTCGGTGGGCGTCGGTGGAGTGATGTCGCATGGTAATTCGGCGTCTTTGCCCTCGATGGCCCACACCAACCGTAGCGGTGCCGTGAGAGCGTGAGTCGAGCCTTAAAAAGAAAAAGAGAAGCGAAATAAAAGGAAGACTGACACGAGTAGAGAGAGAGAAAGGCTCGGGAAAAAGAGAATATAAGCATCGTTGAGAATGAAGATAGACGTTAGCTTCCGAGGGAGGGCGAGGCGACGCAGATTCACGGGGGGGCGGGGGGTGGGTAACGAAAAGAGGCCGGGAGAGCCACCGCCACCCCTTTTCGTCGCTCGTTCGTTAAGGGTGACGAGAAGCGACGAAGAAAGTGGCGCTAATGAAGCGATTCCCCGGCAGCCGGACTGTCGTCGCGCACGCTTCGTCGCCTGTGCACGAGCGCAATGCCCGGCAAAGCCCTACATACACACGATACACACTGCGGTCTCGGAACGTGTACCGAAGCGCACGTGGCGCGCGATGCGCGTATCGAGGAATTAAAGATCCGTGCTCGTGGGTTCACAATCTTAGGCATGTCGGTGTACTTCATGGATTAAAATGAGAAAAAAGTATTGGAGGTGTTGTAGGAATATTTGCAGATTGCAAGGCTCTAAACAATATTTAAATGAACACACGTGAATAAACATAACGAAAGTGAACGCGCTGTATCTGTGAAACGGAAATTCGTAACACGAGATTCATAATTCGCAGTATCTACGAATGGAAGGTCTTAGTTACCACATCAGTTCGATATTTATTTCAAAATTATATAAGGAAAATTATATAAACGTTTAACGATGTTGTTCATTTTAGTTCATTTAATTTGACGATCTTTACGTTAATGTGCAGTGCACAAATATAGAAATAATAACATATTAACTATCATCAGGAAAGAATTACAAAATTCAGACGTCAGAATTTCACTAAAACTCAGGCAGCGAGTTTTCGAAACTTTCGAACAGGTGTGTACTCGTGAAACGGGGACCTCTGGCTTACGACGACACGCCGCGATCGTTTTCGGCTCGCTATTGTGCTCATTACACGCCACGAACTCGCCGTTTTCGCCTATTCTAGGAAACGGAGCGCGGCGTATGCACGCAGCCGTACGCATTTCGCGAGAACGTTCCGATTAAAATAGGATTTCACCGGAGCGCGGAGAACGGATGAGATATTCGACGGTAAATCCTATAAGCCGATGCCGTAGTTAAGGGCAATTCCGTAAGTACGCCCATCATACCGATGGCTGTTCGTCCCACTTTCTTAATCTCGCAATTATCCGGCGAGAACGCGACGAGGTTTCGATAGTCGACGATGGAGAGAATCAGAGGCGAAGCGTGAGCTGTCAGGCATTTGTAATTAGGCTGCGAATTTTTATATATATTCATGACCGTCTATTAAGAAACGAGACCTAAATTCTTTTTGTCTTATTATTATATTACATATTTAATTATTATTAAATTTTAAATCAATGTGTAACAAAATAAATATAAAAATAACCAAATGTCAATATCAAATTGATCAATAATAATAATCAAATAATATCAAATTGATCGTTCAAAATTAAATGTGATGAAAATTAGTGAAAAATGAAAATTATATGTTCGAATAAATGAAATTAATAATAATATCGTTCCGATTGAAACATGAATTTCGTGAAATCCCGTTGAAAGAAAGAAAATTGATCCATAAGTCATATCATTTATACAAAAATATGTATATTTTTATATTCAATTATTTGAATAATAGAAAAATATAATCCTAAAATGATTGTATATAATAACACTGGAACTACCAAAGTGATGAAAATGAGCAATTTATTAACTTACAGACATAAAATGACGTATTTCTAGAGATTTACGTAATTTTTTGTAGAATTGTATTATTATTATTATTATATTATATTATTACATTATATATTCAATTATTATTAAATTTTAAATCAATGTGTAACAAAATAAATATAAAAATAACCAAATGTCAGTATCAATCTGATCAATAATGATAATCAAATAACATTAAATTGATGTGATGAATTTTCAAAATTAATGTGATGAATTAGTGAAAAATGAAAATTATATGTTCGAATAAATGAAATTAATCATAATATCGTTCCGATTGAAACATGAATTCCGTGAAATCCCGTTGAAAGAAAGAAAATTGACCCATAAGTCATATCATTTATACAAAAATATGCATTTTTATATTCAATTATTTGAATAATAGAAAAAATATAATCCTAAAATGATTGTATATAATAACACTGGAACTACCAAAGTGATGAAAATGAGCAATTTATTAACTTACAGATATAAAACAGCGTATTTCTAAAGATTTAGGTAATTTTTTGTGAAATAAAGGCTTGCATACTTCATTGAAGTGAATGAAAATTTTATTCTTCGGTCGTCGATAGTTTCTAGCGTTAAATATGTATTACTATACAGTAGAGTTTCCCGTATTCGGATTCCCACTACTCGCGTATACTGTTTATTATTGAAACAATGTTATGCAAAGAATATTTAGAGCGGTGCGTGGAGAATACAAAAATGTCGAGAACTTTTTTCAGGATCGGGATCAGATGAAAGTTTCAAGTACTTTCAACTGAGGCGCAGTTTCGGGACTGGGTCAGGATTTGTCATATCTCTTGTAATTTCATTATTTCATACGGCGGGATACCGAAATGCCTCGAAAGTGAAATATGTTAAACCGTGGTCGACATTCGACAAAGCTGACCCCCCGAAACGTGCCTCGTGTTCTTGAAATTCTTGCAACTCCCGGATATTTTCGAATTTCGAAATATTTTTGGGAGTCCGTTTCAATTACCGGGTTCTCGATGTTTTTTGCGTTTTTGCATATTCCTGAATATTTACTAGCAACAGATGCCCTTTCTCGTACTGAACTATTTTATACGTATTTCACGTTTTAGGCATTTCACATGTTGTAAAAATAACTTGTCAAAATACGAAATACAAGACTTTACTAAAAAAAAAAAAAGAAAACGACGATGTAACAAATTAGCGTTTCGTTGATGAACAATGAAAATATCGAAGATATCATCTTTCTACAAATTAAAGTAGCAAACGAAAATGTAAGGATGTTGAAACACTCAAAGAGCATTCGATGTGTGCAAAGAGACAGAAATATTTTTGTTTAAAATAATACGATAATGCAACTACAAAATGTGTACGTTCATATATGCACACAATCCACTTTTGAACCACTCATCTTGTTTTTTAATATTTTATTCCAACTTCAATAAAAACGGAAGAAATATAACTTGTCACGCTCACAGAGTATGCAAGCCTTTATTTTATAAAAAATTACCTAAATCTTTAGAAATACGCTGTTTCATGTCTGTAAGTTAATAAATTGCTCATTTTCACCACTTTGGTAGTTGCAGTGTTATTATGTATAATCATTTTAGGATTATATTTTTCTATTATTCAAATAATTGAATATAAAAGTGCATATTTTTGTATAAATGATATAACTTATGGATCAATTTTCTTCCTATCAACAGGATTTCACGATATTCGTGTTTCAATCGGAACGATATTATTATTAATTTCATTTATTCGAACATATAATTTTCATTTTTCATTAATTCATCACATTAATTTCGAACGATCCCATACAAACTCTTTCAATTAAAAATGTTAAAAGTATTTTGCAGTCTAACAAATAAAACAACATTTCGTGTGAACCGCAGTGAATCTATTGTTCCTAATAAATTTTCTTCGTTAAGTGTTTAGTTCCGAGTATCTTTAACATCTTCTTCCAACTCTTCGATACAGAAACAAGAATATAACATGCCACACTCGCGTGAATCACCCCACATAAACCTCCCCAATTAAGGAGTATTAAGCATTTCGCGTCAACGAAACAACATTTCATATGAACAGCAATGAATCTATTGTCCCTGGTAAATTTTCTTTATCTAGTATTCAGTCTTGAACGGCCGAATATCTTTTTTCTCCAACTTCGATAAAAAAAAAAAAAGAAAAAAAACGTTACATTCGTGCAAGTCCAATCGATAGCGCTAAAGCATTCTGCGTCTAATTGGTGGAAAAGGACATCTCTAATTGTGTGAACAGCAATCAAGTCAATTTCCCTTTCCTTAATTAAACGCTCGGTCCCGTGACACGACTGGCCGCTCGCGATCTCGAGATAGCGAGTGCCAAGAGAGAACGGCCGAGTTATCAATGGCATACCGCCGTGTACATTAACACCGGTTCTCACGCACGTGCGCGCTCGCGTTATATATCGGGTCTATTTTCTCCGTGGGTGGAGACTTCGTAACGTCGCAACGATTCTAAGTTTAAATCGAGATCTGCCGCGAGCAGAAAATTACGGACGATGATGCACCGTCCCGATATCCGACGATAACCGACGTTTGAACGAGCTTGGTTGTCACGCCGCGTATAGAAAATTCCGCTGGCGTTCCCGTGGAGAGAGATCGAAAAAGGATCGAGAACTCGCTCTCGATTTTCCATTCAGTACAGATTTTTCGTGCGTAACGCGCCGATGAAAGGCGAACGACCGAACCTAGTTTGTCTTCCCGACAGAGCGTTTCGTCACCAGCCGAGCTCCGATCTGTTCGCTGACCGGTGACACGCAATCGCCTCGCCACGGCTGTTGCGTAATTTCGCGCGTTATTTCGACCGATCGAACCTGCTCCCGCGATCGATTCTCGATTTTGGACACGGCCGTAGATCGGTGAGGAATGAATGGAGTTACGAGTGTAAATAGATCTGACGGAGCTAGTACGAAGAGCATGATTTAGATCACCGACTTGTACGTTTCGTGCGGATCCTTTTAGACATCTCTGCGGATGTTTATGCAGAAACATACAATGGAACCGTTCTTTGAGGAACAAATTTACGACGAATGAATATTATGACGAAAGGATCTTCATATGACTCTATATTTGACTTTTTCATAAACGATCGAGTAAATTTTTTATAAATTTATAATGTATAATCAAATGCGACGCGTTAAATGTGTGTAATGCTAACGTCGACGAATATCTGTTGTTACAAGCAAGTGAAGAGTATTTACAATTCTGAAAAATTGTTTAAATTAGCTGTATAA